GAAGGAGCGGGGAAGTTCCCTGCCTCAGCTGTAGGCTGCGGATGTTGGAGGGGGTGATGGGATCCATAACTGCCCTTCAGACTTGATTTTTCCAGTTCATTTGTGCTGGATGTGGGCAGTTCTGCTCTTCTGCATTTTTCGAGTAAGGTATAGCCTCTTCAGAAGTTAGTGTGGCTGCTTAGTTTTGTTCAGTGCCGATTTCTGAGTGTGTCTCTCAATAATATTGCTAAGGTGTAAGCATATGTAGCAAAATATGCGTGCCCTGGCACTTTTTATTTGTTTTGAATGGCGTGATGCAGTGGGTGCTTTGTTTTAGTGATTTATATTTTGGTATGTTGTCACAGCCTTCCAATGGAGATAAAAGCAGCCGTCAGAAGATACGAAACAAGGAATAAGACATCAGGGACAGAACGTCAGTCATGCAAATCCCGAGTTGACTGGCGACGCACTAAAAGGCTCATCCTAATTGACAGCAATGATGAATCCTCAGGTACCTCTGAGGAGGAAGAGCCTACCACGTCAGAAGATGAAGTAGATGAAAAAGATAAAACCGTTGTGAAGAACAGCCTTTCAGGTCAGGAAGAGAAAAGCCACAATGGGGAAGTAACAGAAGATGGTGAGGATGAGTGCATCATGCCTGGCAAGCGTAAAAGGTTGAGCACCTCTGTCTTGTATGACAGTGATGAAAGTGAGGATAGCGATATACTTGTTAGAAAAGTTTTTGCTAAACGCCACTGTATAATGGATGATGATGAGAATTCCAAAGAAGAGCAACCTAATCAAACCTGCCGTACAGAAGATGTTTCTACAAAAAGGAAACAGAAAACGTTTGCAAGATTGAAAGAACTTGCAAGGCAAAGAGCAACTCGGAGATCCTGCAGCAGTGAAAATTGGGAGGTCTGAATTTCATCTTTGAAATGAAATTTTCATCTTTGAAATTCAGTTGGCAAAATAATGTAGGGGAAGGCAAATACTAATAGATATAAATCAGTGGGCTTTCTTTTAGCTAGTTTTGGGAGTTATTCATGTCACATTTTAGCAGTTGTCACATTAACTAGATAACAATAGTGACTGCTGAAAACCTTTATCTTGAGTTTAATTTTAATCACTGATGATTTAAGAATTTCCTTTCAATTGCTCTTCCAGGCTTTCTGATAACTAAACAATTTGTAATGCAGGTATCTGTCTTCTCTGCGTAGTCAGAAAGAAAATACTTCTATATGGTTCCCTTTTTTCCATAAAGAAGAGATGCATGAGAGGACTATCAAATGGTTTCTATCAAGAAGCACAATACCTGCTGAAGTAATTTAGAGATCTCATGTTAGCTTATTTCATACAGTTAGACTACAGAGAAGTACATGGAGGTGGCTAGTTTGAAGCTGAAACTAAGCGTCATCTAGTGTAGAATGACGTATTTTTAGGAGACATTTATTTCTTGTTAATTAAACAAATACTGTTAGGAGAAGGTAAAAAATTATCCAGTACATGTTGTATTTTGTCAGTGCAAATATTGAAAAATCTGATGTTTGAAATACTTTTTTAAATCTAATTAGGATTCTAATGATGAAGCAGAAATAGAAGAGGAACAGCTCTGTCGCTTGCCCTTCACACCAACAGAAAGTAGTGAAACCGACAGCGACAGTATGAAAGATTTTATTGTAGAGGAAGATGATGATGACAACACAGAGCATGTGAGGAGTGAAAATCAGCCGCAACAGAAGGAACTAAAGCCATCAAATAGCGAATTGCTGGCACACTACGTCCCGCACTGTAAGATTAAAATTACTGGCAATTCTATATGTATAATTTGCTTGTGGTGCTGTTATAAATATTAATGGACCATAAAGGCATATACCATGTAATAGGATATTATAGTTTAAAAGGATATTCCTAAAAGGGGTCAGTTTATTGTGGAAATCAGAGTATTTCCATAATAAACTTCTACAGCTTTTCTGTCCCTTATTAAAGCAAGGGTGTAATTTGGGGGGAAAGAAGGGAAACCCCAATGCACAGATTTAAGTTGTTCTGATTTAGGGTGAAGTAGGCTGCCTGTGATGCAGTCACTCCTGTGGAAACCTTAGAAGTGTCATCCCCTGCCTTGTGACAGATGCTAAGAGCAGCTGTGTTAATTCTGGCCAAGTTCTGTTCTGAAAAGTGACATAAAATTCTTACCATGAGTTTAGGGTTTTAGGGGCTTGGGATCTTTTTTTTTTTTAAATGTAGTTTTATTCCATGGTGGTGGGACTTGGGAGTACACGTCTGTTGGGGGTTTCTGAACTCATCAGTCAATTTCAGCAGAACTACACAGAGCGAGAAAACTTTTCAAGTTGGTCTTTTGTGAAATTGGTGTCTGAATGGAGCAGAGAGAATTGAAACAGAACTTTATACCAGTTATCTTATGCATTTTGTTGTTCAGAAGCAGGTATGTACTGGCTGGACAGTCAATGCTAGTGTAAATGGTCGTGAGTATTTGTGGTATTTCTTCCCTCGTAGAGACCTGAGCAGCATTGTGTGTGCTTGAAAGAAATAAGAAGGAAAACAAACAAGGAAAAAATAAGCTTAGCTTTCAGTGGTTTCCTGCTATTTGTAGAACAAATTATTCTCTTTTATTGTTTGTAGCTGTTACTGTGGGCTCTTCTTCCTGAAAGGCTATGTGATTTTTAGGATTCTAAAATTCATTAAGACCACTGGCATGAAAAACGCTATTTAAAGGCAAGATCCTAAGGACGTAGATGCTATATGTATTGATTTTTCTTTTTAATTTCATATTTAAATGCCATTAAAATTCTAAATTTACCATAATGAGGGAAAAAAGACTTTTACTTCCTTTTTTTTTTTTTGTAAATTCTAGTTATCTTGTTTTCTTCCCAGTATCTTGCTGTGATCATTATGTACACTTCAAAAGAATAGTAAAAGCTTTCCTCATAAATGCAATTGATGACACTTTTCTGATCTCATTATATGGTAAGTAAGTTGCATTAAATAATATAACAACAGTGCATGCAGAGTTATACCAAGACATTTATTCTAGGAAAAGATGTATCTCCCAGTTAGAGTATAGGACTGTGAGTCTTGAGATCTGTTCTTGGTTTTGCTGCTCTGTAGCTTTGGGGGGAAAAAAAAAATCTATCTGAAAAAGATAAAGTAATCCTGGAAAAATGCGTAGACCAAGATGTAGTACCAACATGAAAGCAAAATTAATTTCAAAGGAGATATCTCAGTGAAAATCTTTCAAGGTCAGCTGATTTGTTAAAGTATCTCTTGCTTCATAGCTTTTTGTGAGGAATTCAACAGATAGTGAATATTTTTAGTTATGGAGATTACTCCCTCTCTGTTATTTTTTTTTAACGCTTGTACTTTGAGATAAAACAAATTTCAGCTGCAGTCAGGACTTCCCGTTCTTGCTGAGGAAGTACTTTTTGGCGTGTGGCCTAGTGGGGCTGAATGGCAACCTCACATGCAGTTTCAGAAGCCCTGGGAAGATGTGATTAATGAGAGGACTGTTACTGTCAGGTTGTGGAAGGAGTCAGCAAAGTGCCAAAGAGGTGTTTTTGTTGTCAGGATCTAAGAGCGAATGGAGAATCTGAAATATGCCACAGACTTCAAAATAAAGCTCTGTATATCTGGAGCTAAAAATGTCTTTCAGCTGGCATTGCTAGTTCTTTCAGGTGTTAGTTTTATTTTGTTTTACCAAGTGAAAACAAGCTTATGAAAAACAATAAGTAAACTTTCCCAGGTTTACCTTGTCATATCTTCCTTCTATTACAAATTGTGTCTGCTCTACAGAACTAGCAAATTGCTGCCAAGGCTCTAGAAGTAATCAGCTATGTGGGTGAGCAGGAAATTGTATTCTGTCTTTCTGAGGAACATTGTGTAGTATGAACATAGCCTATCATTACAAAGATACTTTTTTATAACACAGATTGGATTTTTCTGAGTTAATGGCTGTGAATCTTCATTAGTTTGAATCAGGAGCAGCTACTTTAGTGTTTAGATTTGATTTTTATTGTGAAAGATTTTTTTATCGTCTAGCACAGCCTCTTCAAGCTTCTAGTGTAGCAGACTTCCTGAAAATGTGTGTAAAGTATATATGGAAAACCAATTAATTTTAATTATGGTGGCTATAGTGATAATGACAGTTAACTGTTTTCATTAGAAAGCTAGCAAGCCAGCGGTCCCTCTCAGCTCTGTTCCTTTGATAAGAGCATTGCTAAAAGACTTGTGAGATTTGCTGACTTAATTTGTGTGTCTGTACGTGCTGAAGCTGAAGGTGGCATGAACTGGCCTGTGCTTATGAAAGTCCTGGCAATTCCTGGAGTCCAGCAGGTATTTGGGAGTGTTGTGGTTTAACCCGAGCCAGCGGGTAAACACCACACAGCCGTTCACTCACTCCTCCCCCCACTGGTGGGCTGGGGAGGAGAATCGGGGGTGGAAAAGAAGTAAAACTCGCGAGTTGAGCTAAGAACAGTTTAGTAATTGAAATGAAATAAAATGTAGTAGTCGTTTTAATGAAAAGGAAGATAACAAAAAGAGGAAAACAAGTGATTCACAATGCAGTTGCTCACCACCCACGGACAGATGCCTGGCCAGTCCCTGAGCAACGGTGCAGCACCCCAGCCATCCCCAGCCAGTTTATTATATACTGAACATGATGCCCCACAGTATGGAATATCCCTTTGGCTAGTTTGCTATCCTGGCCATGCTTCTTCCCAGTTTCTTGTACACCTGCAGAGCATGGGAAACTTGATAAATCTTTCACTTAGAATAAGCACTCCGTAGTGACAACTGAAACATTGGTGTGTTATGAACGTTATTCTTATACTAAATGCAAAACACTAGGAAGAAAATGAATTTTATCCCAGCTGAAACCAGGACAGGGAGACAGTTATAGAGTAGTGGTAGTTTTACTCATCCTCCTACTTCTTTACTTCTTTTGCTTGAGTAAGTATTTGGAAGTACTTACGCTGCCTAACTGAAGAGCATCTGACTGTGATCCTGAAGTGTAAAGGTCAGTTTCTGTGTGTTTTTTATAAGTGATGAAGAGAGTTGTCAAATTTTTTTCTGTGAAGCAGCTCAGAGCAATTTGCTTGCATGGATTGCAACCTCCTTCCTTAAACATTACGAAGATCTTACGTAAGCTGGACAAAAGGCAAGACACTTTCCTCCCGTACGCCTTTTTCCACTCTTTTAAAAAAAAGTGATCGAGTGAATGGGTCTACGTTTGGGATGACAGCTTTTCACTTTGACCTCGATTGTAGTGTTTATTCATGTTCCTCTTGTGATTATGACTTGCAGAAGAAGTAAATATACCAGTTAGCAAATATGCATAGATCACTTTTATAGCTAATAGTAGCAAAATGTATTCAGTATTAGTTTACTAATAGTGATTAGTGTGCAGAAGCATAATGTCCTTGAAAATTTTATTTGAAGAAACTTATACAACATAGGGCGGTCAGCAAATTTGTAATGACTCTCACTGAACAGATGGAACAAGACAAAAGAAGTATGCACAAGATATGCTGCTGTCACTTCATTATTTGGATGACCGTTTCGTTCAGCCTCGACTTGAGAACTTAATCTCTAGGAGTCGCTGGAAAGATCGATACAAGGTGTGTAGCTTCTGCTTCCAGTAGTGAAGTGGGTTCCCAATCGCATTACTCCTGTCAATTTTTTTTATAATGTAATTCTCAGTAAAGGTACAATAATTGCTAAAATTATATGTACTTTTTAAATAGAAACACATTGGGTTTTACCTTATGTAACTTGTTTTGATATTTTAAATATTGGAAGTATTTTATGTGTTTATAACCAGATAAACATTTGGGTAGCAACAAAATCTGTTCTCCATTGCCTGAATGCTTCTCCTGCTAACTTCAGCAAAGTACTTGGTAAGGGTTTTTTGTTACTTGCTAAATGTTATAACAAAACCTTTTCTTCCTCCCATGAAAAGATAAACTGGTACATTCCTAATGAACCCTGTACTACTTAAAAAAAAATGAAGTTAATATACAGTAACCTCCTCATTGTATGCAAATTACTAGAATAGTGTTAGTGTGATAATCTAATCATCACTGGAATAGTGGAGTGTGGCCAGTGGAGAGATACAGTCTACTTACTTGAAGCAGACAACTGATAGAGTTGCACCCCTAATCCCTCAAAAAAAAAAAAAAGAGAGAGAGAGAAGTAAGTACCAGGATGGAGGGGCCATTCTTCAGGTCTGAAGCTGAAAAAAAAATTAATCAGCTAGATCTGAGTATTGGAGAATGATTGAGATAGTATGTGTTCACAACTGAATGGTGAAAGACATCAGATTTTAATCTCTTTGGTTTCTCTCGCGCTAATTTTGTGCGAGGACAGAGTACTCAGCAGCCTAGTTGAGATATTTTTTTATTTACTGTTATTTGAAATCTGTTTTTCAGGAGCGTGTGGATTGTTACCCAGATGTTCACATAATCATGAAAAATGCAGAAAATATGTCTTGCCATGCCTGTGGGTTGAATCGGTATTGTAAGTTTAAAGTGCTGCTCTGTGGAAAGCTTTATGATAGTAGAACGTTGGAAGCAGATGACTTCATGTCAGATGACAAGCAGGTAACTTGAAGCAAGTACTCTGTATAATTGCTATTAAGCTTTGTCTAGTGTTACAGAACATCCTACAGAGAATAGAAGCTCTATCAACATCTAATGTCTATAATGCTAGAGGCAAGAGTTAAGCTACTTTACTTCCATGTCTAAACTCTATTAATTTTAAAAATACAAGGCACGTGTTGCTGTTTAGAGGAGTATAGTCTTGGATTTAGCTAGGAAGCATGAAGAAAGTCCTTTTCTGAAACTTAAAAGGAGGAATAGAGGGCACCTCTCATCCTTTCTTATATGTTGGGAAAGAGGTAATGAAAAGCATCCTCAAATAAACCTGACTTTTATCAGGAAAATAAATGTGGTGGGTTTTGATGACCCATGTTTTTGCCTGCATCACAATGGTTGGTGTGTGCTGTTTTCTCATGACTCTGATACTAGTCCCTGATGCAGCACATGTGCTTACACCGCAGTAGGTGCCAGTAGATAGAGCCACCCATGAGCTGGATTTCATGCTAAAAAAAATAAAGGACTCTAAGACATAAAGTAACTCTTACCCTCAAGTCAAAGTTGATACTTGCCTCAGTTTTTCCTCTGCTTCAAATCTCCGCAGTCTGAATCTCATCCAGCGCAAGAAGGAAGCTCTAGGTACAGGGTGTCCTGCGCATCCTACTCAGCATGTTTGCCTTTTGTGGTGTACGGGGAGGCAGTCTGAAACGGTGTGTCAAGAGATGCTGACTGTGCACACATGAGGATACGCATACTAACCAATGTTCTAATACAAGCACTCAACAGGTTATTTTTAAAGTAGCTTTTTGTTTTGTCAGAGAATGTTTAACAGAAGATTGAAAATCCTACGGTGGATGTATATACTGAAGAAAGGAGAAACTGTAGTAAAGAAATCATGTGACCAAGTGATTCTCTGAACATGCCTGGCATAAAAAACAAGTACCTAAGAAGTGCTATGGCTTTTTTATTTAAATCTCGAATAGATCCTATCTCATTATGCCAGGAGACTGAGGCTCTAAATCAAGAATGACATTTGCCTCAGATTTACGTTTATTCTAAATATCAGAATGCCTTTTCACTGAAATCTGATCACTAGAAGGTCTTTTACGTTTGTGTGTGCATATGAAAACCCTTAAGACTTTCTCAGATTGCATTGATTAGCTTTCAGAAACATTGTAAAAGTAACTTTCCGTATAACAGATAATCATTTTTATTGAACAAGTGTGCTTTCTGTTTTGTTCCAAGTAAGGTTTGTTCTACACTGGATCGCTAGGTTTGCTAATTCTGTGCCTACCATGCGTCTTGGCATTTGGAGAGTCTGTTTGCACTCCAGCAGTTCTTGTTTGCTCTGTGTCAGGACGCTGGGTGAACTAGTGCTGCTGTCATTCCAATGTTCCAAGTGCAGGCTAGTCAGAATTTACTGCTTCATTCTTAAGATTTTTTTCACAACTGCTATTTCTCATATAGCTGTTCACTCCCAACAACATATCTTGACATCTCATTTTCATTGACACTTGAAATTGATGATCTCCTTTTGAGAAGACTTGTTCCTAGCTTCTTCAGTACATTTTATCAGAAGGGTTTTATCATTACTGCATTATCAAGAACTACATGTCCAAACTAGAAAATGTTTCTGTTTAGGTGGTCTTCCATCTTCTGCTCACTCAGTTGTCTCTACTAGGACAATCTGGATTAAATTATGTTTTTGGAGTGAAACATAGCTTTCTTGTTGTTACATGATGTTGCACTAGGTGGTCATTCTGGCTATCTTGTACAGTCAGTTTTGTTATATTCTACAACTGAGACTTTTGAAGACCTTGACTCATAAGAACCTCGATGTTCCTAATATTTAGGGATCTTCCCTTCAAATTTACAGCTACCAGTGATTGGTTAGGTATGCATTTTTTTAAATGCGGTATAATAGGATTTCTTATATAAAGATAAAGTGAAGCCCTCATCAAACTGGCACTACGCCTTACTGAAGCCCGAGCCTATGTTGTTTGAATCTTTGCAAATATTCTAAATCAGAGAGTTGACGGGCATCAGTGTGATTATCATTAGGTCATCATATTGAGCTCTGTGTGTAATGTAGAATCTAGGAAAATCTGTGTCGCAGGTTTTTCTTAAACAGATTACAGACCCTTCTAAGCAGCAGGCTTTAATACTTCGGTTTGATAAGTCTGTGTGTGCATGATAGTCAAGAGAGTTAGGCTTTTACAGCAAGGCTTTTCCCCTCGTTTGTTGTGGAAGTCCAGTAAGTCCTTGGTAATCAAACACTGATACTGCAAGCTGTCATGCAGTCATCGTTTTTTCCTTACATATGGGTCTCTAAATGTAGATCACTAATTTAAAAATTTTCAGGTTTTCATGGGAAGTGTGTGCCTTACCTAACCAGAAGTAGTTAAGTGAAGTAGCACAAGAATTAAATCTTTATTCAGCTTCCAGCTTAGCTGTGGAAATAACAGTAGCAATTCCCTCATTCTTGTCCAGATGTCACCCTTCACAAAGCACTGGCTATTTTTCACTTTGGGAAAAGCTTGAAATACCCTACTGAACGAATGTTGACCTAACTTGCTAGTTCATTTTTGTCCACTTTATCTTAACAGTAGAAAAACTGAGCTTTTTTTTTACTCTGTGTACCCCAACATCTGGCGAGATGCCTGCCACATACATACTCAGTATAGCTCAGGGGCTGTAGAACAGACCTAGGAGAGAGAGTTACTGAGCACTTTCCAGTAATTTTTGATAGTGCCTTTGTAATGCAACATTAGTGTTCCGATAGTGACCTGTAATTTAGACTGCTAAAGGTACTGGTCTCGAGTAGCCTTTGAAGTTCTGCTGGCAATACATTGATCAACTCGTCCTGCCAAGTGAGAAAAAAAGAAAGGAGGAAAAAAGAAAAAAGGCATAAAGAGCTACATAAAACTGGCACTTAGAGAACTTAATTGACTGAAAGAGAAAGCAGTTCAGCACTAGCAGATCAGATTGAATAGAACCATGTAGTTGGACTGTTTTCTGAAGTTTTATTTGAAAATACCTGAGAAAAGTGGATGTGGAGAGAACAAAAACAGACCTCCAACCCTCTTCTGCATAAAACTTTCCTTTTCTCTCATCTCTGAAGTATTCTGCCTTGCCAGTAGAAAGAGAAGAGAAACAGCTGTTCCAGTTTTGCTTGGGCTCACGGTGATTGTTTTGTGTGTAGCTGCCAATTCTCATTCTTCCATGGTCAGGGAAAATCAAGCAGTTTGGGAGGTACAGGCGTCCCCCACGCTTCTTTGCTCTTGTATCACCTGGATTATAAACTGTTTTCTGCTCTAGGTCTTGGTGTTCTACTTGCATTTATAATCGCGCTTGGAGGACACGGATTCAGTGACTACATGTTGTGCTATTGTCGGGCTATGCTCCTGCATTCCCTACAAAGTGATTTAACACGACTTTGGCTGATACGGCCAGCCTGAGTAGATAAGTTAAGCATTAGGACAGAGTCACTGAGAACTGTGAGAGGAAAAAATTAGAATGAGTACAGTACTGAGATTCTTTCCAAAGCTGCATTCTGAAATAGCATTGTATTTTTAGACAATCTCTCTTGCTTTAAAAACACAACACATAATTACATTATACAACGTTTAACTACTTGCCTCTGGCAGGCATCTCTCCAACGCAGAAATACTCTACACCTTGCATGTAAATGAACTATGAAACTCATTGCCACAAGATACTTTGGAAATGAAGTGTTAGTGGGTCCCAAAGGGGATTAAGTTCTTGGGAGAGGCTTCTTTCACTCTATGGAACATGATACTTGGGTTGATACAGACTGTCTTCAGTGTTGACTGCTGGAAGCTGTATGGCAATGTTATGATCATTCTGGTATTTGTCCTGCATCTTACACTAACTTCCTAAATACCTCCTGCTAACTGTTATTACAAGGAAGAGCTGGGCCATCAGTTTGAAGCAAGATAGTATCTCCTACTTTATGCCACATAAATGTTCCAGATGCTGCACCTCATTGCTTGGGATACTTGAAAGGTTATGAAATGCTTTATAAAACACTGCACCTCTGTTCTTGTTCTGAAAATTTGAATGAATCAAGGTTGTCCATTGGTTGGTGGATCTTGCACTGCAGAAGCACCCACAGCACCAAACATGAGCCTTAGCATTTCTGTTTTAGGGACAGTAAAAAATGGAGCTACATATAGGTGTATATATGTGATCAGTAGAGAACTGTGATATAGTAGTAGGAATTTTTTATCTCAAGATGGCTAAAATTTCAGTTAATAACCATCTGCTGTAGGTCAGATAAAAAGTTCTTTTGAGTGTGTCTCTTTGACTTTCTGATATTATGCCAGCAGTTGAGCTGCTGCTTAATATATTTAAGAAATAAACTATGTTTGTTTAAGAAAATATATAATACATATAAATCTAAATATAGTTTAGATAATATTTATAAATATGCTTTTCTGTTACTGTCATTGTCAGTAGATATTGCTAGTGCCAGGCTGTACAAGTAGGCCAAGTGTTTTGGGGAACTGCTCACAGATGCAAACACTTGGTCACGCATTTGGAAGAGCTTCCTGAAAACGCAGGTTCTAAGCACTGATTAAAACTTAACCTTGTCATAATTTAAGAAAAGTGTTCAGATTTTTACCAATGGCAGCAGTAAAGGGTATCACTGTTGCAGCTCAGAAGAAATCATTTTGCAATGTACAGCTTGGCTGTATTTTTATATATATACGTGTGTGTAATCCGAAAGAGCAGTGCAATTGCAGCTTGCATTACTGATGCAAAGAACTTTGGCCTCTACCTGCTAGTTGCTCACAAAGGTGTGACAGACATCAGTCCAAATCACTGCTGCACTTGAAGGATAAGTTCATGGTTTTCTTTAATAAAAACTAAAGGAATTTATTTTCTTTACACCTGTATTAATTATGTTAATTTTGAGTGTACAAAACCTGACATCCAAAAACCAGCCAGATGGAGATTTCTTACCTGATGGGCTTTGTCTCTGTGGATTGGAGTAGTAATTGTTGCACCCATAGGTCATTTACAGGCGATCAGGTCTTCTGATCTGGCATTGTATGTACTTGAACTACTAGTCTTGCAGCAATGGAACAAAACTAACTGTCCTTAAATGCAGATGTACTTTGACTCTTTCTCCCTCCTGTTGTGGTTTGAGCCGGCTGCCCGGGCTGGCAACAAAGAACCACGCGGCCACAAGCCTCCCTCCACTGCCAGGAAACCTCGCCAGACTCAAACCCATGGCACTTCCCCACGCCTCCGATTTCACATGCTCTTAGTGAAGATTTAGAACTGCCAAAGATTCTTGTAACCAATATATTGCTCAATATTTTCAGGTGAACACCTTCACCACCTCACGTATTTGTATAAAATCTGCATTCAAGATACGTGCAAATAGTTGTGTTTATTTAGCGTTAGTGCTGATAGACGATAATGAATCTAATCCATGCTCTGATTGTGTATTTAAATGTGTATTTGCCAGTTGTTTATCTAGAAATACTGCTGTAAAGATGACTTTGACAGTTCTGTCTTTTCTGCATGGAAACTGCAGAAGTAAAGCTGATAGCAACTGGGAGATACAGAGGCTTTGATTTCTACATTATGGCCTAGCTATAGCTCCCAGACAGTTGCAGATTAACATTTGCACTTTATAAATCTCCAATTTTTACATTTTATCTTTGTGAAATCCTATATTTCTATATCTTTATTAAATATATGTTTCTAGGCATATGTCTATTTGTATCCATATGTATTTCTTGAAGAAATGTTAAATATTATACAGTCTACAAAATGCCAGAACTGGCATTTCACGTCCTTAGGAAGTGCTACATATTAATTAAAAGTAATCAAATATTTTCTCTTCCTCTGCTTTCACAATATGCTGGTTGTCTAAAATGTTAGTCATTTTGTAACAGAGTTCCACCAGGACATAGGAAAGATACTACCGATCCTAAGCACGATTATGTTTGCATGAAAACAGTACTGTTAAGCTGCCATTGCACAGACGTGCCGGTGGCCTGCTTGCTCAAAAATTGTTCTGTGTCTGTGAAAACTACGTGGTTTTGCATTGCTTTTATGCATGTAGTGTCATGCTGTTTATTTCATTAGTCAAAAAAATCTTACTAGGCTGGCTTGGCTATTCTTTATATTGTCAAGATAATCACAGTTCCATCAGAGAGAATGATTTGTTCCCTTTGGCCTAGGTGTTGAAGGTTGGCACGGTGTGTGCAGATCGCACAAGAGTTTATCATAATCTGAAGCACTTCAAATACAAGTTGTACATGGATTGCAGCTCCGTTGCTGAGTTGGATGGTGTCAAGGATGAGCCAGTCAAAGACACAGTCGAACGGCTTTTCAGCCAGTTGGAAGACAGTGGGTGGATTCAGAAGGTACAGCTGAGTTACTTGATGTGTTCTTTTCCAAGTAGATAGAAGTAAGGGGTGATAAAATGTCTGATGTAATTGATCAGTTCTGAGTTACTGGGCTTCAGGAATATAACTCATCCACTTCTGCTGACCCAGTCTCTCAGACAGTATGCTGCTGTGTTCACACAGAGTTTGTGTCAGCTTCTGGTGTGAAGTTTTTTGACAGCTGCGTGATCTCTGGGCTGTGTTCCTGTTTCATAAGAAAGCAGCTAGACAACAAACTCAAGCTGTAACTTAGAATGGCAACACGTACGTGAGGCACTGCAAGAAATCTTTACTCTTCTGTTTACACTGAAGTACTTTGAATTATTAATACATCACTGCTTCTGAATTGTTATTGTCATGCTTGTTAATGTACTAAAGAAAAAAGAAGCAGTCTTTATGTAATTCAGGTATTAAACATTGATAAAATAATACAGGTTCTATTTTATTTGCAGAGATATGATGATCTTGAAGACTACATGAATGATGCAGACAATTTCCAAGAAGAGAAAATGGATTAAGTCATCATCATAGCTCTTTGGAAGACATGTTGTAAAAATTTGAACAACCTGCTTTACCTGCGTGCACTTTATCTCTGCTTGGTCTTCAAGATTCTTTTTAGGCTGTGTGATACTTAAATCCATATGCCTTTGAACTACTGTGGGAGAATGTGATTTATCTTTTTTTCTCATCTGTGTCAATAATAACCCCAAGTCTCACCAAATCAGTCCTCCCATCTTACTTCATAGGTCACTTTAACTTTCCTTTTGTTCTTAAAAATAATATCTTAGTATCTGTTTACTTGTAAAATAAAACTTCCACCTGTTTCTATTGAGCAACATCACAGGGAAGGTAGGAGATACCTTTTGAAGTAGGCATATTTGGAAAGGTAAAGCTATGTTACACCAGAACCTATGACTTGCATCTTACCTTGTTACAATAAATGGGACCAAAATGCAAAGATGTGTTTCGCCTCTGAGGTGTCAGTATAGACTGTTGCAAGGCAACAGAGGAAATGTTCCGCAGTCCTGACTACGTGTGCAGCACAGTAGTCGTTCCTCCCTTCAGAGAGCAGGTGATGAGTCACATTATAGGGGTCATACAGACCAGGTCTGGCTTAGCCAACCAAGTGAACACTTGGCCCCACAGTGCTGTCTCCAGTAAGCAGCTGGGGCAATTTACTGAGATTTTAAACATCAAAGTCTATTACGCAAACAGTGGCCAATACTTGCAGTAACTGAAAAAAAAAATGAGAGAATGGAGTAGTGTGGCCGTGCAGGATAAGCAAGGATTCTGCCAGCGTAACTTAATAGAAAGTAGGAGTTACTCAGAATTGTGATGCATGGCTTACCTGAATTGCATGAAGCCAAAATCAGAGTTCTTTGGGGCTAGGGGATTAGATTTTTGAGGAGTTAGGAAGGCTTAAGTACTACATTATCAATTCTGAAAAATTCAGCGTGACCTGGCAATGTGTGCTTGCAGTCCAGAAAACCAACCCTATCCAGGGCTGCATCAAAAGAAGCGTGGCCAGCAGGTCAAGGGAGGTGATGCTCCCCTTCTGCTCGCTCTGGTGAGACCCCACCTGCAGTGCTCTGTCCAGCTCCGGAGTCCTCAGTGCAGGAAGGACATGGACCTGTTGGGGCGTGTCCAGAGGAGGGTCAGAAAAGTGATCAGAGGCATGGAGCACTTCTCCTGTGAGGACAGGTTGAGAGAGCTGGGGTTGTTCAGCCTGGAGAAGAGAAGGCTCCGAGGAGACCTTACTGGGACTTTTCATTACATAAGGGGGAACTGTAAGAAAGATGGAGAGACATTTTTACTGAGGGGCAGGATAAGGGGCAATGGTTTTAAGCTGAAAGAGGGTAGCCATGGAAGGACATAAGGAAGAAATTTTTTATGACGAGGGCGGTGAGACACTGACACAGGTTGCCCAGAGAAGTGGACACCCGCTCCCTGAAAGTGTTCAAGGTCAGGTTGGACGAGGTTCTGAGCAACCTGATCTAATGGAAGATGTCTGTGGCCATGATGATCTTTAAAAGTCCCTTTTAAACCATTCAGTGGTTCTGTCCCCATACTGTGTGCTGCGTATAAAATGATAAGATGTAGCCTAAGATACGATGCAGGGCGCAGGGCTTTCAATCCACTCAGGAACTGTTTCTGCGTCCTGCTGTGTGCACACGCTCTTTCATTAGTCTCTTGTGGCTGAGCAGCTTAGTGAAAGGGAAGATATTTTTAATGCTCTAGATTCCTTTAACAAGTTGCTCTCCCCAAAGCAAAACTAATGTAACCTATTTTCTCCTGGATTTGTCCATAAGAAATCTCAGCATTCCTTGTGCCACTCTCCTGGTAACAGATACACTGATGGGCTACGCAGCTGCTGCCAGGTGCATCGCTTAATGGTGAACATCTGTTGGCTTTTTTTCCATGGGAGCTGTACCTTAAATGTATCATTCACTACCCTTTCCCCAGCAATCATTGTAAGAAATTAACTGCCTGTATATTTTAAGGGGTTGAAATGCAGCAATGGTTTATATGCTATTAGAATGAGCTAATATCACCAGTTCTCCCTGGTGATACAGATAAAAATACAGATACATTTACAAACCAAGATGAAAAATCCCAGTAAACAGATTAAGATTTACTCTCAAGAAAACTTACGTTGAAGATACTATTTCCATACCTTAACTGTGAGTTAGATATGTAAGTATTCTGAGATTTTATATATTTTATACCTATCTCCCTGGTTACCAAAGCTGAAGGAAATCCCTGCTTTTTCTTTCTTCTGGGAATGTTGGTGAGAACACCCTCATCAACTTAGAAGTACTCAGGAATCCATCTTAAATATATCCCTTTTAGGAAAAATCATGTCCCTTGATGGCCCACTTCTTTCTGCTAACAAAACCTCTGTACACTTTTTTTTTGCTTCTCTGGAATAACAAAAGAACATTTATGTTTTGTGTAACTTTACAAAGGAAGACCATTTTAAAATAAATGATTTGGTACCACGTAATGGAGTATGCCCTCCCAGAGCCTTTCTGACTTGTCATAGTTTCTGCTACCTTCTGAATTTTCTGAAAACTCTTGAAATTGTATGATTTTTATTGAAAAAACTGCTATCAACGTGAGCAGTCAGTTTCTCATTTTGACACATTTAACCTGTTTGCTACCGAGTTACAGAATAAAATTTGGCTTGCTGGTTACGGATCATATTTCAAGAATACCTGCATTTTGATTGAAAATGAAAGTTGGCAAATTGTTCCAGTTACTACTTTTACTTATTTTTTCATATCTACCACATCTCAGATCACTAAAAAGTTAATCCAGCCCCTGTGTCCACTTCCCCTCTGCTGCTGGGCCTGGGACTTCCCTGGTGCCACCTGCTCTGCAGCATCAGTGGGGATTGCTATTGGAGGAGGAGTTGGGTTCAGTACTGGGTTTGCATATATATGTATATAGTTCATTATTTTGTTATTTTCTTATTGGTACTATTATTGTTTATTAAGGCTGGGTTTAGCTTTCTTTTCCAATCTGTAAGTCTCTCCACCTTATTCCCTTTTCCTTCCTGTTTTGGGAAGGGCGAGGGGTTACAGAGCATCTGTCAGCCTTTAGTGGCTGGCTCAGCCCTAACCCTCGGCAGCTCTCTATGTCTTTCTTATTCCTGCAGGCATTTTTTTTCTAGATCTGTGTTTTTCTGTCTCCAACAGGGATACTAATGTACTATGTTAAAGTTTCTTGAAAGAAAGTGCCTCCATAGGTTTACTGATCTTGTCTATGACATTACCAGCTGGACTAAGAAAATGCCTAGAACTGACATCACTGATTTCTATTTCAGTAGGAAACTGATATTTGATCTGGCTTGGCAGAGGCCGTGCTAATGTTTGTGTGTATAGTCTCTCTTAACCTTTGATATTGCCCTCACCGAGATTGGAGGAAGTGATAATAATTTTGTGGCTGTTGTTTTACCTGAAGAGTTTCTACAAGACAGAGCATGTGAAATATCGTTACATCATGTTTACATTTGTCTTCACCACAGGAAATAGAAAGATTGCTTAGAAGAGCCGTAAATGTAAAAATTTAAATCAAATTTTCCAGGACAGGCTCTAAATGCTAGTACTTGTACACCGTGAAGTACAAAGACGATTCTTGCCCCCTGTGACTTTTGATATACAGAAATACTCAGTAAGAATATTTCTAGTGGGGAAAAAAAAATAAGTGCAAATATATAATATTGGGAGAAGTCCATACTTCCTTTTCCACATTAGAGAATTTGAGTGGAGTCAGGGGGTGACAGAATATGTTTGTTCTGATAGGACATTTTTAATTGTCTTTAGTGTTAATTTTTGAAGTAGTAGCTTTCATTAAGATAAAGTACCTGGAACAATAGAGAGCTCAGTACGTGATTAGGCTTGGTGGGAGTGATTAATGATCATAGTTGGAAATTACTTCTGTTCCTGTAGTGTTTCAATAATCTGCTCTAGTTTAAATTCTCCAACTGGAGACTGGGATAATGATAAAGTTCACACCAGGTATTTTATGCACAGGATCAGGCTTACTAATGTGATGCAGTTATGGGAGGGAAGGCCCTTTTCAGTCTATATTCTATGTCCAGTTCTTGCAGTGAAGTATGAAAAGAAGTGATTTTTCTCCCTGTGTCCCAGTTTTTGGAATGAAAGTCATTTGTGGATCAAATGGGATGGTAAACTTTGCTAATAGGAGATAGCCATTACTGTCTTTTTCTTTTTTTTTTTTTGACAGTGAAGGCTTCTGTTTCCAAACAGCAGCTATTTCTAGCAATTCAGTAGGCAATTACAGACAATTCCCATGCTTAACTCCTCTAGTTTACTTTTATGTGGATAAATAAGGACTTGTAGTTTTATCCTTCTTTAAGTCTGTCTGGATAAACAGAGTGGGTGTGCTAGATAAACGCATGTAAATACAATACCACTCCAAGAGAAATATCCAGCACATAAAAGAGAGTTTTTAAAGTTCACTTTCTGCTTTGAGAAATAAGAAATACTAACTTCTTATCTGAATTTAGAGGTGAGACAAAATAATAGAAGAAAGTAGGATCTATCAGCCAAGGAATAATATGAGAAATATGTCAAATGGTACTGAAAGAACCTGATAATAACCACTTTTCTAGGTAGTAAGTGATGGCATGTAGTTGCTTTGTTTTGGTTTTCCCTGTTTATTAAATAAGATGTAGGCATAGTTTCTTTTTAATGGTCTGGGGATTGCATTCTTAATTTAATAAAAAAAAATGGTGTGTGTTGTATTTTACAGTTTAAACAGAGCAGTAATTACATGCACCTTGTGCCCAAAATTTAAAGACAAGAAAACTCACTCAGGTGCAGTCACACTGCACCAAAATGAAACGATTTACCAAGTGAGCTGTGTGGTACGTGAGCGGCACAGTACACGAGCCTGCCTCACTTAGGATACCCCAGGAAAGAGATGTGTGTAGTCAGTGAAAATGGCTAAGAACCCTCTCTGAAAAGCAAATAATGGAAATGGCTGAAAATTC